GGACATATCTTAGAGAAGAAAATCTCAAGCCTCGGCCGAAGGCCGGCTACCTACCAAAATTACAGTGTTTAGAAAAACTATGGATCGCGTAGTAACTGTTGGACATATACCAGAGGAGAAAATCTAAAGCCACGGCCGAAGGCCGTCTGTTTCAAAATACTATAGAGGTTAGATACATTTGACTGGAGAAAAAATTGTAATTTAATGATTTCTATTACTAATATCTTCGGAACTACAAAAGATATCAACACGTATGACACCATTTTAGAAAGGTGATAGTGTTGGCTGTTATAAGGTAGGCAGATTTTAATACCCTATAATGGGTCCATTTTTGAGTTTTTATGGGTTTTTCAAAAAGTACTTGTGAAAAATATAATTTTTCTTGCATTACTCTGGAACCGGTTCATGTGACCCCTTGTTGGATAGGTATTTTCATAAGCTTTCAAATGATCTCCATTTTGTAGTTATCGGTTCAGTAGAACCGGATAAAAACCGAATATTGTATCTGAACTTTCGGGTCGAATAACCGGGTAACCGGGTATTTCCCCCACAAAAAAATTACTTTGCCGTAATCAGGTTAAAAATACCTACCTGTGGTAAAAATTTCATAACGATCCGAGCATAGCCCCTAAACTCAACTTGCTCCGTCAGAATGTTAGTTTCTAGGATCGTGTAGGATACTGCGTAGTCGGTTTCGCTCGACCCCAATAATTTTTCAGTGATTTTCAACAATGAATTTGAAGTCTATAGTGCTACACCACTAATTTTGCCTTAGTTTACCTTTCTTTTTTTTCTTTTTTGGTCGACTCTCACTCTCTGTCGTCTCTCACATCTCTTTCATCAAAGAACTGTCGTGTTTTATTTTGTTTGGTCTATTCTTTTCGTTTTGTTTTCTAGTTGTGGTTTTTTGCTTTTCTTGTTCTCTGCGCCTCTTTTCAAGTCATCGCTTCGTTCATACATATTTTGCCCAGCCACTTTTGCTGCTGGGGCTGGCTGGCTGGCAGTTCTCGACCAACAACATAAGCACAGTTTAGTCTTGGCGCAGCAGCTGGCTGGTGGTAAACCAACTACAATAAGAAGAGAAAAAAACAAAAAGTAAACAAAAATTAGTTTTTAACAAACGGAAAACAATAACAATTTCTGTGTTAATTTGTATTATCATCAACATCTTAACAACAAAACAAATTGTGGTATTCAGTTGTGAGTTGGAGTTTGCAGGAGCTTTTCAAGCTCAAATTCTAGTGAGATGGAAATGATTGGGTTTTGGCAGGAAAAGGAAAAACTGTATCGAAATTCTAATTGGATATTGAAGTGAAGGATGGGTGTTGAAGTTTTATTCCTTTCTATGCCCAAAAAATAAGGCAAATGTTGGTTTTATCGTCCATTTGCCAGTTGTTTTTTTTGTCCAAACATGTTTGTGTATATATTATATGTACATATGTACCCATTGACAGCAATATGTTTGTGCAAAACAACAGTATATGCTCGGACCAAAACAGAAATGATAAAAATGTGTATCTCTTTCAAGGTCATTGCGAAACAGAAACAAAAAATCACCTTGTTTTCGTTTTTCTATGCTACGCCGCCAAACAAGGGAAAAATAATGCCAACAATTCCTTTGTTTTGGTTTGGGCTAGATGGGGTGGCGCATGACAAGGCTGGCGACGAAGGCGGCGGTAGTTCTGAAGACAATGTTATATCTTTGTTGGGAAAAAACAAATACTTTTCTAACGCTATATTTCCATGGAGCGCACTCTTCTTGTGTCAACTGATGTTAGAGAATATGACCGACTTTTTAATATCCTACAGTACAGAGAGGATATGTTTGTATTTGGTATTGAAATATATCCTTACTAATATTACTTTTTTGGGAGCGGGAAAAATTCTCTTTATACTGCTTGGCGTATCGAATCTATTTTTATACCCTCCACCTTGGAAAGGAGGGTATATTAACTTTGTCATTCCGTTTGTAACATCCCTAATTATTCGTCGTAGACCCCATAAAGTGTATATATTCATAATCAGCATAAAAATTCTAAGTCGATTTAAAGATGTACGTCCGTCTGTCTGTCTGTTCAAATCACGATACAGCCCACATTAATTGACGTATAGCGTCAAAATTTAGCAGAACAATTTGTATTGTTTCTAGGATGGTTGGTATCGAAAATGAGATATATCGGCCCACGCTTTGGTATAGCCCCCATATAACGGTACCTCCCGATTTTTAATCTTTTGATTATTTTTGCCACATTTTTTTCACTGATTTGTCTAAAAATTGGTATTTCCTGGTCAAAATGGGTTTTAGCTCCGGTGGCGATACATTGCACGATTTGGTATAGCTCCCATATTATGATACCTCCCGATATTCGGTATTTTGATGGTTTTTGTCACATTTCTTCACGGATTTGTCTAAAAATTGGTATTTGTTGGTCATAAAGGGTTCTGGCTGCGGGGTCGAAACATTGTATGTATAGGTCTACGTTTTGGTATAGCTCCCATATAACGGCACATCAAGATATTCGGCATTTTGATGATTTTTGCCACGTTTCTTCGCGGATTTGTCTAAAAGTTAGTATTTGTGTACTAATGGGTTCTAGCTCCGTTGGCGAAACATTGTATGTATAGGTCCACGTTTTGGTATAGCTCCTATATAGCGGTACCTCCCGATATTCGATATTTTTTATGATTTTTGCCACATTTTCCCACGAAAATGTCTAAAAATTGGTATTTGTGGGTCATAATGGCTTCTAATGTTTGCTTTACCCTAAGGTGGAGGGTATTAAAAGAAAAAAAAAAAAACAATTTAAAAAGTATCATTCGGTTTAGCCGACAGATGTATACCCTCAGCCATTGTTCGACTATTTAAATAAACAGGGTGAGATAAAAAAAACTGCAACAAAGTCGAACCCCATAATTTTCACATTTTTTTTAATTTTTTGAATACCTAAAATAAAAAAATATCGGAAATAGCATTAAATTTTAGAATAAGTATAAATTTGTTCGAATTGGTCACCTTTGGCACGAATTGTGGCCTTCAAACGGCCAATGAAACCATCACACGCTGCCCGAATGTTTCTCTGCGGTATTTTGGCCCATTCCCGACGATTGCGCTTGCTTGAGGTGATCGATACTTTAGTCCAACGGATTAGTATCCGGAGATTTTGGTGGCCATTGTGCACTGAAAATGAAGCGAGGAACCTCATTTTGTAACCATTTTTGGGTGGCGTGCGATTATGCTGAGTCCTGTTGGGATGTCCAAGGTCTGCGCTCAAAATGTTTGCGTGTCCAAGGCTTTAATATACCCACCAGAATAATTTCGCGATAATATTCGGCATATATTCGATTAATACGAGCGGAGAGCGACCATCGGCTGTTATGGCGGCCCACACCAACACCATTGCCGGCGCTTGAGTTCTGGTGGCCAACCAAAGGTGCACATTTTCAGCTGACCTCTTTGACACGATCATTTTGTTTGTTTACAAACGGCTGAACAACGAATGTTTTCTCATCGGAGAAAACCAAATTCGGCAATTCACCACTTTCGGCCAAGCGAAGCAACTCTTTAGCTCCTTTGAGTCTATTTTCTTTCTGTTGCGGTGTAATTTCTTGCACTTTTTGGAATTTCAATGGCTTTACCCCGAGCTCATTTTTCAATATTTGCCGAATGCAATATTGCGATATGTTCAGCTCACGAGCCATTTTTCGGCCTTTGCAGCGCGGTTTCGATCAAGTCGCTTCTTTACTTTTCGAACCATTTCTGCTGATGTTGCTGTTTTCTTCCGTCCACTTCGTCGTGACGTCGGGCTACGCTACCAGTATCACGTAATCGGTAACGAGCGATGGTACGAGACACAAAAGATTTATTCACATTTAAATGCTGGAGTGCTCTAACGATAGCCATTTGTCGCTTTCCAGCCAAATATAAAAAAAACGCTTGAATTTCATGACGAAAAACTTTTTTTCTGAAAAAAAATCTCACCAAAATGCTGATACGGCCAAAATGTGCCTCATCGAAATAACGGTTCTAGGTCTTTTAAGACCAAATTCGTTTCAGGACATTTGGAGTCGATCTAGCGATGTCTGGCTGCTGTGCACGATAACTCTCGAAGGGAGTATCCGATTTGGTCCCAACTTGGTACATCGTAATATTATTGTCAAACTTAGATCAGGTTCGGTCCACTCCTTCTGGTACCTCCCTCACAAAATTTCAACATTTTCAAGGAAAATAATTTACTGCACAGAAGGAGACAGGATAATCCGATTTTGCTCCAACTTTGCAAATCCTAATATTATCATCAGTGCTAGGTCAGTGCGAAAATGGATAATATCGGTCCACTCCATCAAGTACCTCCCCCACAAAGGGTCAACATTTTGAATAATTATATCTGTTATAAAATGTGATGTATGTGTCCGATTGGCTTAAAATTACGCACATCACAATAATTTCATTAACCCAATGTATGGTGTGCATATGGAATATATCGGTCCACTCCTTCTGGTACCTCCCTCAGGTTCAAAATTTTGAATAGCCATTAAATTAATAAAACGCGAAATTAACATCCGATTCCATTTAGACTTCGCACATCTCAATATTTCCATCAACACAAGATTAGAAATCGGACCATTCTTTCTGGTACCTCAAAGTCTCAAAGGGTCAAAGTTTTGAATAGCCAAAGCTATCATAAAATCCAAAATAAGCATCCGGTTCTCTTCAAATTACACACATCACAATATTTTTACTAACCCAGGTTCAGGTGGAAATTGGGATATATCGGTCCACTCCTTCAGGTTTTAAGGGTTTTGGTCCTTATTATTAACTACAATTAGTTGTAATTGTGGGCTCCTTAATTTTACCTTCTTAAATCGAATCTCTCACATAAATCAAAAAATATTAATTATTATTTTTATTTATTTATTTTTTATATTATATAATAAATATATATTCCACCGTTAAAGTTTAAAAATTCTTATTTCGGTTTTCTCCCTCATTTTATTTACAGCCCATCATGGATTCATTTTTGAGCCTCTTTGATCCAAATCAACCAGATGATGGTTTCGACGAGGAACCAGATATACGCAACAATAACATTTCTTCGTACTCGAATACGAACAGCGGACAAAGTCCACACTCCTCGGGCAGTGCCAGCAGTGGCAGTGAAAGTGAACTGGATGGCAAAACAAATAAAATCATAATTGATTTTGATCAGGGTATGCTGCCACCCGAACCTCAACTGGGCAATATCGAATACAAACTGAAATTAATAAATCCCTCAAAACAAAGATTTGAACATTTGGTGACGCAAATGAAATGGCGTTTACGCGAGGGCCATGGAGAGGCTATCTATGAAATTGGTGTTTCGGATTCGGGTCACTTGCATGGGCTCAACGAGAAGGACATGAACGCGTCGCTGTGTACACTGAAACAAATGGCCCATAAATTGGGTGCCAGCACATCGGTGTTGAGGCGAAAATATGTGGCAGGACGACGGTCGGTGGCCGAGGTCTTGGTGCGGAAAATACCCGATGATCAGCATAACATTGAAGTGAGGGTGGCGGTATTGGGTGGTGCTGATGCTGGTAAATCAACACTACTGGGGGTCTTGACACAAGGCGAATTTGACAATGGCCGGGGACGGGCACGTTTAAATATGTTCCGACACATGCATGAAATACAATCGGGTCGAACATCATGTATATCCCACGAAACGTTGGGTTTCGATACCCAAGGTAACATAATTAACTATAAATATAATGAAATGATGACGGCCGAGGAGATCAGTGATCGTTCCACAAAATTGGTGACATTCATGGATTTGGCTGGCCACAGGCGTTATATGCGCACCACAGTCCAGGCTCTGTCCGGTTATTCACCGCATTATGCAATGTTGGTGGTATCAGCGGGTGGTGGGTTTAATGGCACCAGTCAGGAACATTTGTCCATTGTGCGAGCCCTCGACATGCCCTTCTTTGTGGTGATAACCAAAACAGATATAACATCTCCGGACCAGACAATACAGGAACTAAAGAATCTACTTACCACCATTGGCTGTCGCAAGGTGCCATTTGTGGTGACCAATACCGATGAAGTTATTTCCGCCGGCTCAAATCAACTATCCGAAAATATTGTACCCATTTTCTGTGTCTCGAACGTGACAGGATCTGGTTTGAATTTGGTCACACGTTTCCTCTATGTCCTGTCGCCGAGTGTTAGCAACTCGGAGAAGGAACGCTTGGAACAGGAATCATGTGAATTTCACATAGACGAGATATTTCGAGTATCGGAAGTTGGCCCCGTTGTGGGGGGCCTTTTGGTGAAGGGTGTGTTGACAGAAAATATGCCCATGAAAATTGGTCCCCTACCGAGTGGCAGCTTTCATGCGGTTACAGTGCACACAATACATCGGAATAAGGCACCATGTCGAGTGGTGCGAGCAGGACAAAGTGCATCACTCTCCTTTACACCAAATCAACAGTTGCCCGCTCTGCGGAGTGGTATGGTTCTGCTGGCAGACACGGGCAATCCAGATGATGAGCCGTATGGTACACTGTTTTTCCAGGTATGTAATAATTTAATAATTTTTTACCAAGTAGATCGTGAGGCATCTTCAGGGCAGATCTTGCGTTAGCAAAAATATTTTTTGGATGTGAGAAATTTGAAGAGAGTTGGAAGCTTATGTCTCTTTCTTTGAAAGTTTTGTTTTTCAAAATCTTGAACCCTATGTGGGGGAGGTACCAGAAGGAGTGCAGCGATGTATCCCATCTTCAGAGCAGATCTTTGGTCAATAAAAATAATAAGATGTGTAAAATATGAAGAGAACCGGATGCTTATTTCGGATTTTATAATCGTTTTTGTTATTCAAAAATTTTACCCTCTGTGGTGGAGGTAACAGAGGGAAGGGCCCGATCTTTACCATCTTTATAACAGATGCAGAGATGTGCCATGTCTGAATGGAATCGGATGCGGATTTGCGATTTGTGAGCTTCATGGTTATTCAAAATTTAGAGACATTGTGGGGGAGGTACCAGAAAGATTGGACCGATATATTCCATCTTCACAGCAGATCTTGTGTTAGTAGAAATAATGAGATGTGTGAAATATGAAGAGAACCGGATGCTTATTTCGGATTTTATGATCGTTTTGGTTATTCAAAACTTTGACCTTTTGTGGGGGAGGTACCAGAAGGAATGGTCCGATCTCCACCATTTTTATAACAGATCTTGTGCTGATAGAAATATTGAGATGTACCTAGTTCGAATTGAATCGGATGTTAGTTTCGCGTTTTATGAGCCTAATGAATATTCAGAATTCCGAACCTTTGTAGGGAAGATACCAGAAGGAGTGGACCGATATATTCCATATTCACAGCAGATCTTGTGTCATTAGAAATAATAAGATGTGTGAAATATGAAGAGAACCGTATGCTTATTTCGGATTTTATAATCGTTTTTGTTATTCAAAACTTTGACCCTTTGTGGGGGAGGTACCAGAAGGAATGGTGCGATCTCTACCATCTTTATAACAGATCTTGTGTTGATGGAAATATTGAGATGTGCGAGGTCTGAATGGAATCGGATGTTAATTTCGCGTTTTAAGAGTTTCATGAGTACTCAAAATTCCGAGCCTTTGTGGGGGAGGTACCAGAAGGAGTGGACCGATGTATTCCATGTTCACAGCAGATCTTATGTTAGTGGAAATAATGAGATGTGTGATATATGAAGATAACCGGAAGCTTATTTTGGATTTTATGATCGTTTTGGTTATTCAGAACTTTGACCCTTTGTGGGGGAGGTACCAGAAGGAATAGTCCGATCTCCTCCTTCTTTATAACAGATCTTGTGTTGATGGAAATATTGAGATGTGCGAAGTCTGAATGGAATCGCATATTAATTTCGCCATTTTATGAGCCTAATGAATATTCAGAATTCCGACCCTTTGTGGGGAAGATACCAGAAGAAGTGAACCAATATATACCATCTTCACACCAGACTTTGGGTAAATAAAAATAATGTCATGTGTGTAATATGTTGGTAATCGGACTCTTACATCACATTTTATAGGAGTTATAATTATTCAAAATTTTGACTCTTTGTGGGGGAGGTACTTGATGGTGTGGACCGATATTGTCCATTTTCGCACCTGGTCTGCCACTGACGAAAATATTAGGTTTTGCAAAGTTGGAGCAAAATTATCGTTTCTCTTTCTGTGCAGAAAATATAATTTTTGAAAATTTCGACCTTTTGTGGGGAGCTATCAGAAGGAGTGAACCGATTTTCCCCATCTCCGAACTCGATCTAAGTTTGATAATAATATTACGATGTACCAAGTTTGGATCAAATCGGATACTCTCTTCGTGTGTTATCGTGCACACCAGCCAGACAGACGAACATCGCTAGATCGACTTTAAAAGTCCTAAAACGGATTTGGACCAAAGATACCTAGGGTCTACCCCCTCTAGCCATATGACTGAGGTTATAAAAATGCTAGGCCATGAATTATGGAAAGGTTGATGATTTACCTTGGACTAGGATTCTAAAACGCCTAAATTTTTTTGTTTTACAATTTAAATGTATTCTTTGCTTGTACTAATTCGCTTTCTAATTATTTTGATTTCAATGCTATAGATGCACCTGAAAATAGTTTTTCTTTTAACTGTGTCTTTGTCAATGATATTTTTATGATCCTAAATCGAATTAAATCGAAGTCTATTGGTGTTGATGGAATAACAATTGATTTTCTTAAACTTATTTTTCTATATATCTCAGACTTTCTTCTGAATTTGATTAATTCTGTGCTCACTTCTTCCGTGTTTCCATCGCAGTGGAAGAGAGCGCGGATAGTTCCATTGCCTAAGCGTAATTTTGTAAATGGTCCTGAAGACCTGAGGCCGATATCTATTCTCCCTGTGTTGTCGAAAATTTGTGAGCATGTTATGAAGCACCAAATACTAGCACATGTTAGCCCTCTCATTTATAATGGACAGTTTGCGTTCAGAAAGAATTACAATACAACAGGTTTGATGCTATACATGACGGATATTATTAGGAATAATGCAAATGTAAACATTAACAGTGTAGTTGTGTCATTGGATCTTACGAAAGCATTTAACTATATTTCTCATGTATATTTGGTACATAAACTTAATTCTGAGTTTAATTTTTCTGCAACCGCTTGTAGGCTTGTTGAGTCTTATTTGCATGATAGAAGCCAATTTGTTGTTCTTAATGGAAAATCGTCAAATGTGCTGTCTCTTACATGTGGTGTACCACAGGGTTCTGTCTTAGGTCCTTTGCTGTTTGTGCTATATGTGAATAGTCTCAAGGAATGCTTTTCGGACTTGAACTGCAAATTGCTCTTGTTTGCTGATGATGTCTTCCTTGTCTTTAGTAATGTTTATGACTCGCAGATATTATTCGAGACGGAAATTAATGATTGCCTAGCTCGTTTTGAACAGGGGTGTTTTGATACCATGCTGGTAACCATTCCTGTGAAAACTAGAGCCATATGCTTTGACAATTTCTCATCTCAGCTTAATATTTTTCTTAATAGAGATAGAGTTGCTATTGTAAATTGTCATAAAATTTTAGGTTTATTTGTTGATGATAAACTTTTATTTGACACACATGTTGACTTTGTTCAAAGGAAAGTGTATAGTATTATCCGCAGGTTATATTCTACGAATCTTTCTCTTCCGATCTGGGTCAAAAGGAAAATTGCTTATGCTCTACTGATGCCTCATATTTATTATGGCTTGGAGGTTATGTCTGGCACAATAGAACGTGTGTCCTTGAAGTTAAAACGTGTGGTTAATTCTATTACCCGCTTTGTCTTTGGAGTTAGACTTGGGCAGCATATATCTGACTATGTGGATATTTTCTTGGGAATTAACTTTGAACGGTTTGTTAATTGTAGGGTGTTATGCTCTTTTTATAAAATTGTGAAAACAGGTGTACCTGCTTTATTAAAGAATATGTTTAGATTTGCTATGTCCTCGAGAAATACTCAGATATTTATACCTAGAATACAATTCTACTTTTGAGAGATCTTTTGTAATACGAGTTGCCCGTTTATGGAATTATTTTCCTACTGAACTGAGAATATTTTCACCGTCTAATAATGCTTTCCGCTTAAAACTTATAGGCCACCTTCGTAATTCTGATCTTCATATTATCTAATGTATATTATTAGTTTGTTAAAAACAGTACATGTTTTTAGTACTTTTATTTTTGAGATATGTATGTACACTTATTTAAGGCTTGTTGCTTTGTTGCTATCACGTCCTTTATTTATTATTAATATTAATCTCTTTTTTAATTTTTGTGTAGTTATGGATGGGGAGCCAAATATATTGACTTAGTTAAAATTAGTTTTAAGTTATTATTTTCTACTTGGAGCATAATTACGTTATTAATACTATTCATTGGCCTTGGAGGCTTTAGTATTATGGTATGAAATGAATAAATAAATAAATAAATAAAATATTTTTCGTTTCCATTTCTCTTTCCAGGCTAAAGTATCGGTATTATTCCATGCCACCGCAATCTATGTGGGATTTCAGACTACCGTTCACATTGGTAGCATAAGACAAACGGCCATCATACGTGGCATCATGGGTGGTGAGAAGATTGGCACCAATGACAGTGCATCGGTAATGTTTCAATTTGTCGGCCATCCGGAATATGTAAGGCCCGGCATGAGGGTACTCTTTCGTGAGGGTTCCAACAAAGGTATAGGTGTGGTGACACAAGTATTTCCCCTAAATAAGACGCTAAATAATTGTTAAGCCAATACAGAAGAATTAAAAATCCGTTGCCGTTACCTACATAAGTTTTAATTAGCAATTAGGAATGTTATTAACCACAAATTGTACCTCAAATGATATTGTAGGACATTTCGGAATAATTTTCTTCATTTTGACTTATTACCAATTTAATTGTAATATTAATTAGAAAAAAAAGAAAACAGCAACTAGAGAATAATGACTTGAGTTTCAGTTTCAACTGTGATTTTTGTTTATTTTTTTTTTAGTTAGTTAAGATTTGAAAGAGGAGTTATTTTTAGGTTTATTTGCTAACAAATTTGGACGTGAAATGAATTGAATTCATTGTGGTATATATACTCAAGTCCCAGGGAATGGGGCAAAAAAGAAGGATGTACATCCTCTCCTATCCCTCCTTAACACTGTCCCCTTTTTAGAATACTTTTTTTTTATTAAATCATTAGTGAGACATTACAAATGTACTTAAGAAAATCGTGTATTTCTAATGTTTAACTAATTACATAGAAAATATGTATGTATGTGACAAACTGTATTTACAATTTTCGATGCTACTAAGTTATTTGCTCTGAATTTAATTTTTGCTTTGTGTTCATTTTTTAAAATAAAACAATTATGAAAACCTATGTAAAAAGTAAAAAAAAGAAAACTTGTATGTAAATGAAAATAAATAAATTAATTAAATAACATAACATAAATTGTAACAATTCTGGTTTCTTTTTATTTATTTAAACATTATTCTTATTGTTATATGGGAGGCTACTATCTTTGTGGCTTTTCTGATGTCGTCGTCGTCGTATCATCATCCCTTGTCATGGGCATATCATCCTCAGAGTTTCCCTCAATTTGTATGGCCTTTTCACCCACATTGGAGTGGAAACGGAATAGAACGGGTATTTCACCCAACGAAGGATTACCATTTGCCTCCAATAAGCGTATCCATGATAACAGAGAATCCTTCGTAGATGTGCCCGTGGCACAAATGGCAAATATCGTACCATCATCTTGTTGATGTACCGATCTCACCTTACCCACCTGGTGGGGTTTTCGGGGTACTTTACCAAAGAAGGGTACATGTAGGTGGGTAACATCTGGAAAATAAGAAGGAAAAATACAATTGCGGTTCTCAAGCTTAAATATTGGTCTGTTCCTGAAGCTGCAAGAATTTACTAGCTTTGCAATATTTCTCGATATCATAAGAGCAGTATCGGGTATCGTAGTAATTTCATTCCTGCAGGTCTGCAACAGACTACATATATCTGTCCGCCTTACCATCCTCATCGATCTGTTGATTTCTCAGCGAATTCAAAAATTCCATATCTGGATCTGCCCTTAATGTAAAATAATTAATTGTTCTATTTCTTAGCCAAATCATAAATGGCCCCTCTATGTACACAGCCTTGTTGCGTGGATGTTCCTTGAGCAGCTGGCTTTGATCCGGACTCATGCCACTAACAATCCACGTTTGATCAAGAGCATCCTTAATATCTTTTGTATCGAATATACTAATCTGAGAACGTGGATCTACCGTACACATACGTTCCACAGCCAATTTGGCCACCGTTAATGTATCATCTGGCACCGGATTGGGTAGAGGCCATGGTGAGGCATTTTTAAATTTAGGCATCCAATACATCATACGCCAATATTTACGCAATGGATGACCATGTTTGCCAAACACATTCAATAACATTGCCTCCATTTCATAGTCTGGCATAACTCCCAAATCCTCCATTTGTTCTAGTAAATCTATAATACATTGCTGCTGTTTGGGATAGTGCATGAATTCAGCTTGGAAAATATTTTTGGGTATCATTTTGCCCTTGGGCATGACATTTATCAGTGCCTTATAGACTTCCAAATCATGTTCCACCCCAAATTCGGACATATGCTTCATGGCGGCATAAATGAACTCGACATGGTTACGCCGGTGGACATCCCTCTCGGCAAATATATTCACCATACTCAAGTAAACATCTTTGGTTTTTTCCGATGCCGAGGCAAAGGGATTTTTGACAGCAGGCACAAATGATTTAATGGGAGGTCTCTTTCGCTGTGGTCCTTTGTTTTTATTGGGTTTCTCTTGTTCGGTCTCGTCTTGATCATGATTGAATTCATTTTTCACCTGCTCTGTTTTGGTGCAGTAACTTTTCAAGTTCACCAATGACCCAACGCCAGAAGTACCATTGGCCACCGCTGTATATCTTTGTTGGGAACTGCTCCTAATTAGAATTTGTAACCTGCTAATCATTTTCTCTAGGGAATATAATTAATGTTTAATGTATATTTTTCAATTTTAATTCATAATCTTACCCTATTGAAGCTCAAGTCAGCTCCGCCATGAAAAAAATAAGTTGCAAAACAATTTCGATGAACAGCTGTTTTGCCGCAACAGCAAAACGGTCTTAGTTAGTTAAGAGGTAGCGTGAAGTCTCTCAATCCCCATTATTAAGAAATAAAATATATTTTCGATTATTTGCGGACAATATACCGGAAATTCAATTAAATTCTATGTTAAGACCGATGAGAAAGCTCTTTTCTCTGTTCTCTCCTATTTTATGTTCTCTAAACAACTCATGGCAATTTGCCGCCAAAATTGTGTTGTCGTGGTCTAACTTTATTGCTATAACTTCACTTTTTATTCATTATTCCTCAATAATTTTGCTTGTATAAATGAATTTATGTATGAAAGGGTATACGTTTAAAGATCTTGACGATTTTTTCAGAAGTCCTTGTGTCTTCCAAAACCAAGGAATTTCTGGTAATTTCATCCCATGACACCAGACGCCTTAATTGTGCTGTGGCCATTGATGCACTTGGCTACTTCAATGTCAGCGGCTCTCTAAATAAAAAGAGAAGCTGAGAGAACTCTTTGCTGTGTTTGTTTTGATTACAAAAACAATTGCTTGCTACTGTAATTTCATTGCATGACGCTAGACGCCGCATTGTGTTTATTTAACTGACAAACGTTACTACTTGAATAATTACGTCTGTGGGAATAAGAAATAAGAGAGAGAGAGAGATGAGAGAGCAATGCGCTCACAGCTGTTTTTGTTTTGATTACGACAAAAGAAACTCCAACCGGGTGGGAATTTCATTGCAGGAGAAATTCTTTAAATTCCTGACTTAAAGATCCTTTAAAATGCACAAATTACCAAGGATAATCCCATATACAACGCATATTTCAAGGAATTTACTAAACTGCCATGGATTATATACCTCCTGCCAACGACAAGTGTCTGCCTTATACATAACCGGCGACAAGGCTCGTGAGAATTATGTGACTCTGCAACCATACCTTGATTTTAAAGGTACTTTTGCAGACATGGAGTCACTGGAGAATTCCATTAAGAAAAGGAAAATGACAATGGACCTAAAGGAAGTGCATCGGATGTTTGAACACTACAAGGCCAAGTCAAAGGAAATTGAAAATGTGGAAAAGGAAAGGGAAATGATTGCCAAACAACTGAAAGATATGGGCAAGTCTAAGGACCAGCAAAACACAGAGACTATGAACAGGTTAAAGGAGCAAGGCAAAGAACTGAGAAATCGATTGAAATCCTTGAAAAATGATTTCTATCCTGTGGAGGATGAATTTTGCCAGGCATTTTTACATTTGCCCAATCTACTGGATCGCCAATGTCCAGAGGGGGAACATGAAAGAATTTTATATCGCAGTAAGTTGAATGAAACACAATCGCCGGAGGCACCATCACATTTGCAGCAAACGGACCAGATCAGATACATTGACCACACCCGGTATTATTTGATGAAGCAGGCCGCCAAATTTGATTTGTATTGCACCGATGCCATGGTAAAATATTTCCTACAAAAAGAACAGTTCATACAAACCTGTAATCCAGATTTTGTACGCTGTGTTTTGCTCGAGGCAAATGCCACGCCCCTGGAACGTTATCACAAAGTGGAGGAACATCAGGTACAAAACAAACTTAATGGGGCCTATCTTACGGGTGGTGGCTCCTTTGAAAGTTTTCTGGGTGCGGTAACCAAACTGTGTGTCTACCCATCGGTTATACCTTTGAAGTACGTCTGCAGTGGGCGATTGTATGAAAGACCGAGTGAGGAAGAAAACCACGCAGCTTCCTTGTACACAGCCATCCAGACAAATGCCGTGCAGACTTTTGTGGCTTGCCTAAATGCCCAGCAGGCTGAGGAACATATGGATACAATTCTAAATCGTTGTGTTGATTTCTATAAGACTTTTGCCAATCTACACTTTCGTGTGGTGTATGTTAAGGCAGCGGATTTAATGCCTTCGGAAAGTTTACGAGCCCAAATTGAGGTGTATTCACCGCATGAAAAACGTTATGTGTGTGTGGGTCGTATTAGCAATTACAAGGATTTCGTTAGCAAACGTATACTCTTTACAATGCGTGAACAAAAGGAGTATAAATTCTTGCATTTAATTGGGGGTCCCATTCTATATACAACACGCCTCATTGCTGCCTTAATGGAGAGTCAGGAGCCCTTGGATTACCAGAAACTTATGGAGAATTTGAAACTGAAACCACAGCAACAACAACAACAACCATCTTCATCAGATGCTAGTAGTAAAGAAAAACTTGAAGAATTCAAATCGTTATTTAAATAAAACAACCGCAACCACCACCTGTTGCAGCATTTCTAAATGGAAATTTTGTTTGTTTTTTATTTTTGTTTAATCTTTTATTTTCTATTGAGTATTTAAAAAAATCCTGTTGTTTTATAATATTTTTATTTTTCCTGTTTAGTTTTTTAGTTGTAGTTATTAGTTTTATATAATTAACACTTAATATTAGCTTTTGGAAATCCTTTGCGAAAATTCTCACATTTCGGTGTGGTAAATGTTATGGCCTTCATGCCATCCATATCGTTGACGGAATTACTGCGTGGCTTAAATGTGTAGACGGTATTGTAGCTTAGTTTGCTAAAGACCAGGGAGTCCTTCTGTAAAATAGAGGAAGGGGCAAAAAATAGAAATCATGACAATTTAGTGAGTAGCAAAAATTATTTAAATTTTTAAAAGACTAAAGTCCAGTTTTGTTTCTTTTTAGTTTACAAATCATTTGGAAATATTTGGAGACACATGTATAGTTTTTTTGCAATTTGAGCTACAAGAAACGTGTCCATTGCTCCCTTTTTTACTGCAATTTGAGTGTCAAGTTCATCAATATAGTTTTTTCAATATTAATTGTCTTGGATTCAAGTTCAGCTTAACAAAAATAGAACAATGACCGTATCTTGTTTCAATAACCCAATACTTACATTAACACGTATGGCATTGTATTCACCTTCTTCGCAATTTGTTTGCAGCGGACAAAGTTCATATATTCTGGAAAGAGGGAAGGTGAAATATGAGTCCAACATCAATTTAAAAACTTAATTTATATTTGGTCTGTTTCAGAACTGCTAGAATGTAAAAGTTTTTACTATGATAACCGATTTTCCCTTTATGATATCGAAAAAAAATTGCAAAACTAGGAGATTGGTGCAGGTTCTGGAACAACCTTATTTATGGTATTTATGGATAAGATATATTTTATGTGTGGTAGCTAATCGAAATTTCTCTATCTATAGAAGTTGTTCTCTCTATGGAAGATTTGCAAAAAATTCTTTAGAAGCTAATTATACCCTCAGCCATATGGCTAGCGATTGTATATATAATTTGGTACGGCCAAAACGTGACTCATCGAAATAACGGTTTTAGACCTTAGGTCTCTTTGGGCCAAATCCGTTTCAAGATATTTGGAGTCGATCTAGCGATGCCCGTCCGTTCGTTTGTCCGCCTGTCTGGCTGGTTGGTGCGCACAATAACTCTCGAAGGGAGTAATCGATTTGATCCAAACTTGCTTCATTATAATATTATTGTCAAACTTAGATCGAGTTCGGAGATGGGCAATATCGGTCCACTCCTTCTGGCACCTCCCCCACAAAATGTCAATATTTTCAAGGAAAGTAATCTACTGCACAGGAAGAGAAAGGATAAACCGATTTTGCCCCTACTTTGCAAATCCTAATAAATTTATGAGTGCTAGGTCAGTTGCGAAAATGGACAATATCGGTCCACTCCATCGAGTACCTCCAACAAAAAGGGTCAATATTTTGAATAATTAGAACTCTCGTAAAATGTGATTTAAGTGTCCGATTATCTTCAAATTTCACACATCGCAACATTTTTATTAACCCAAGGTCTGCTGTGAAAATGGAGAACATTTTTTCACTCCTTAAGGAAGCTCCCCACAAAGGGTCAAAATTTTGAATATCAATGAAGCTCATAAAACACGAAATTAACATTCGATTCCATTCGGACTTGGTACATCTCAATATTCCCATCTACACAAGATCTGTAATAAAGATGGTAGAGATCGGACCATTCGTTCTGGTACCGCCCCCACAAAGGGTTAAAGTTTTGTATAACCAAAACGATCATAAAATCCGAAATAAGCATTCGGTTCTCTTCAAATTACACAAATTTTTTCCCTCGCCACCTTGGATTTCACGCTTTTGATGTCGGAAGAACATAGTCGCACTTCCATTTTATCAATGGGGACGCCGCTCTGTCCTACTTCTATCTCGATTGCCCTTTTGAGGTTTCGACCGGATTCACCACTGTTCTGAACAATATCCCCTGTTTATCGGGAGTTCCCTTAGTGTTGAGTTAAGATATTTCCTCTCGAACTTTGTAACGAATGTCAGGTTAGTCCTGATAAGCTGCAATTCCTTGTGAGCGAGTTTTGATGGATCCCCATCGACTAGAGTAGTTTACTGGCCGCCGATATGCCTTCTTATCCGTCGCCTTCTTGGATTTCACGTTTTTGGTGTCTGGAAAACTCAGTGGCACTTCCACTTCTTCGCTGCTCTGCCCTCCGTCTACCTCGATTGCCTTCTACCTTGAGAGCATGAGAATGTCGGTGTTTACCGACGAATTGGTTTTGGGGCCGTTGGAAATTCTCAAGTCGACTTTTTTGGCAGTCAACCCCTGGCTAGAGGTCGAAATATGAACGTTGGTGGTATCTATATCTTCAACCTTGTCAGCCGGGGCCTTTCCCAAAAGTCTACAGGTATCCTGACCTAACTCAGCCTAAGAGGTTCCATATCTGCAACAATTTATGCGCTTATTTGCTGTTGTCGTTAACAAGGTCAGATCATTGTTGCCTCCCATTCTTCCCGTCCGTTTCGTCCTTCGGGTGGTAGGAGACGATCCTGAATCTTAAGACCCGATTCCGATCTTAAAGTTATTTTTGTTGAGGTGGCGGTAAGCTTCGCACTTGCAGCTTTGTTGACTGACCGTGCCAAGGTGTCCATACCGGCATCAGTCCAATTAGGGTCGGTGACACATTTTTTGGCTCGGTTTTTAAAATTTTATTTTCAATACGTCATTGTGTTGTGAATACCAACGACTTTCTTGGCAGTCAACCCGTGACTGGAGGTCGAAATATGAACTTCAGTGGTATCTATATCCTCTTCCTTGTCAGGCCGGGGCCTTTCCCAAAAGTCTACAGGGTTACTGACCTGACTCAGCCTAAACGGTTCCATATCCGCAGTTATTTATCAGATTATTTGCTGTTGCCGTTAACAAGGTCAGATCATTGTCTCCTCCCAGGCTTCCCGTCCGTTTCGTTTCTTCTGGTGGTAGCAGGCGATTCTGAATCCTAAGACCCGAGTCCGATCTTAAAGTTATTTTTGTTGAGCTTTGTTGTACAAAGTACAAATAGGATCGGCGACACATTTTTTGCCTTGGTTTTTAAAATTTAATTTTCCTATTGCGAAGGGATTGATGTCGACCATGACATAGCCTCCATGGTATGGACTTCGTTGAGGCATCCAGGTATCAGTAAAGCTACATTAGAATGCAGTCGGTTCCCTGACTGCAAAGCTGCACCATTGATGGGCATGTGGTTGTATAATACCCCAGCCTTGGGGGGGGGGGGGGGGGGGGGGGGGTTGGTCATCTTTATTTGAGAACCACCACAGAGATTTGACTATTTTAGGGGCGCCGAAAAATCGCCTCGTTAGTCTTATGATCATCGGCAATTGGGTATTTAAGCGGAGACCCTCCCCCCAGACTGTCGTCAAATGTTTGTTTAATTCGCCACAAGGATATCTACTGGCCCTTTCACTACCCGTAACCTGTGGACCAGCCCGCTAGCAATCAGCTATGCTCCCTGAAGGTGGTACCTTTCCCACAGTCAGTCTTATGATCATTGGCAATTGGGTATTTAAGGCGAGACCCTCCCCCCGACTGTTTGCAAATATTTTTTCAATTCGCAGCTACAAGGATATCTACTGTCCCTTTCACTATGCGTGACCTATGGATCACTCCGATTGCAATCAGCTATGCGCCCCGAAGGTGGTACCTTTCCCACAGAGTCAAATTAAAAAAAAAAAACTATTTCCCTTCGTTTTTCCCAAGGTTTGAGTACATACGAAGCTAGGCATATTAATGTCAAATTATATGAGAAAAATGACGGCAGAATTCGAGTGCGACTCTGGCATCCTTTTATGATATGCCATAAAATATGCCATGCGAAGACTTCACCCACACTTTAATGCAGACATCCTGCGATGGTTTCTTGCTAGGTTCTACTGGATGTTCTTCGATAACTTTTGGCAATATTTGCCCGTGAGAGGGAAAATTCTCTCAGTACAAGCTAATGAGGAAAAGTAACCTCACCTTTATTTATTAAAATATAGATTAAAATCAATTTCCTTTTACACATACTTTTCCTCCTTTGGATGGAATCCTGATATGACCACCAGCATGCCAAGTTTGCGATTTAAACGATATTTTACTTCAAATGTATCCATGGATTTTGTTGAAGATGAGGACGACGAGGATGATGATGTCGTCGCCGATGATGAATAAGTACTATTTTTTATTGACAACGATGAGGTGGATGGTGTATCGGCAAGAGAGGCATCATTTAGGGAATATTTTTTCGTATAGTAACGCTCATCGATGGATGACAGGGCATTGGCACTCAGGCCATCACTGTCACGTGTTGATATCTGCTGTTGGTGTGGCTGCTGCTGCTGTTGATCCCTGCCACATTTCAGCGGCTCAAAGGTTTGTGTTGGCACAATTGTGGTATTGTAGAGGATTGAGTGTTTTTCCGATTTAAGGCGTTTACGTCCATTTATAGACAAGGCTTGCACTTGTATGTAGTAACTAGAATCAGGAATAAGTTTGGTAATTTCATATTGATGACGCTGCAAAGAAAAGGTGAAACAAAATTTTTATTGGAAAGAAGAGCTAGGGGCAGAACATTTCCTTACATCCTTGACATAGGCCTCATTCGATACAAAGGACTCATGAAATGTATTTACATAAAGTGACCAAATTATTTTATATTTTTCTATGGGCAAATTCGATTTGGAGGCACACCACACGATTTTGATGGTCACACGCTGGCCATCGTAATGTGAGGAGACAACCTTTAGATCAGCCGGAGGTTTTGGTGGTTTAGGATCTGAAATGGAAAGAAAAACGTGAGTAGTAGATTTAAAAAAAATGGAAAATTTACTAAATCGAGGATTTGAGAAATAAAATCGAAACAACCATGGACCAAGTAATCCTAAGAGGATCATGTACCAAGATTTATAGAAATCTGACCCTTTGTGGGGGAGGTAGTAGAAGGGGTTGGCAGATATATTCCATCTTCACAGCATATCTTGTGTTAGTATAAATAATGGGATGTGTGAAATATAAAGAGAACCGGATGCTTATTTCGGATTTTATGATTGTTTTGGTTATTCAACATTTTAACCCTTTGTGGGGGAGGTACCAGAAGGAATTATCCGATCTCTACCATCTTTATAGGAGATCGCGTGTTGATAGAAATATTCAGATGTGACAAGTCTAAATGGGAACGGATGTTAATTTCGTGTTTTATGAGCTTCATGAATATTCAAAATTTTGACCCTTTGTGGGGGAGGTACCAGAAGGAGTGAACCGATATATTCCATCTTCACAGCAGATCTTATGTTAGTGGAAATAATGGGATGTGTGTAATTTGAAGAGAACCAGATGCTTATTTCGTATTTTATGATCGTTTTGGATATTCAAAACTTCGACCCTTAATGGGGGACGTACCAGAAGGAAGGGTCCGATACCTCCCGTCTTTGTAACAGATCCTACGTTGATGGAAATATTGAGATCTGCTAAATCTGAATGGAATCGAATGTTAATTTCGTATTTTATGAGCTTCACGAATATTCAAAATTTGGACCCCTTGTGGGAGAGGTACCACAAGGAGTGGACCGATATATTCCATCTTCACACCAGACCTTGGGTTAATCAAAATATTGTGATGTTTGTAATTTAAAGAGAAGCGGATGCTTATTTCGGATTTTATGATTGTTTTTGGTTATTCAACATTTTTACCCTTTGTGGGGCAGGTACCAGAAGGAATGGTCCGATCTCTACCATATTTATAACAGATATTGTGTTGATGGAAATACTGAGATGTGCCAAATCTGATTGGAATCGGATGTTCATTTCCTGTTTTATGAGCGTTATGGCTCTTCAAAATTTTGACCCTTTGTGGGGTAGGTACCGGAAAGAATCCACCGATATATTCCATCTTCACAGCAGATCTTGTGTTAGTAGTAATAATGGTATATACGAAATATGAAGAGGACCGGTTGCTTATTTCGGATTTTATGATTATTTTTGGATATTCAAAATGTTAACCCTAAGTGGGGGAGGTACCAGAAGGAATGCTCCGATCTCTACTATCTTTATAACAGATCTTGTGTTGATGGAAATATTCAAGTCTGAATGGAATTGGTTGTTAATTTCGCGTTTTATGAGCTTCATGGAGGAATCGACCGATATATTTCATCTTCACACCAGACCTTGAGGAGCTCTATAGAATCCTCCAACTTGGTGTTTTTTTCAAAAACTATTTTTACGATTATACTTACGATTTGGTAAAGTAAATGCTTGCGATGGTTCCGAATAGCCACGAAAACCATAAGCATTGATGGCTGCCACACGCACCTGATACCAGCGACCAGGCCTTAAATAAAATCCTACAGTGGTTCTGGGCAAAAAAAGAAAAAAACCAACAATTTATTTAGCTTCTTCTACATCATCCGTCGCGTCCCCCCTCCCCATCGCATACTTACAACATTCTATTTAAATCTAATACCTCAGCCAATAGTTCAACCGGCTGATACTGCCAGGCACTCAGTTTGCGTGGCGATAGCTGCGACCCGATGTGATGACGTATCTCGACATGAAAATAGTATGACGAATTCGATTGCAATGTGATTTCGACTTTTAGCTCTCGGGCGATCAGCGTGCACTTAAGTATCTTTGGTATTGGCGGCAGCAGACTGTCGTCACGCACCCCAATTGGCTGCATGCAAACGGGTCCGCATGCGGAGCTACAGCATTTCTGCACTTCGGGACAATCGAAGTCATAGCTGCAGTTATCCAGGCACGAGAGTTTCTGCAGCGGCTGGATGTTGATGTTTTGAAAGATGGCATTCTGCATGACCGGACAATAGCCGCGACGCGGCGCTTTGATCATATCGATTTGGCATTGTTTGCGACATGATTCACAGTCGCCAAGGTAGCGTGTTCCACCGCCATTGGAACTGCTGCCGCTGCTGCTGCTCGAGCTGTCCTGGCATTTAGCATAGCATTGTAGTTCGAGGATTTTATCACGCACATCGATATTGGCAATGTGTTGCATTTGTGAGGATCGATAACGGCCGCCTCCCAAGCCACCGCCACCACTACGACCATGATGGCGACACAGGGCCTTTGTGGGAGCATTGAGTATCCATAGCGTAATGAGTAGTATTTTTAACATAAATATATTTAACATTGTCTTCCGGTCGACGGTTCCGACTTTGGTTTATCCTTTCTTTGCTACGTTGTTCGGATGGAGTTTCAGAGATTCAATTAATTTATCAACTTCATGATGTACTTTTGTTTGTTTTTATTTTACTTTACTGAAATGAGAGAAAAGAGATTTGATTTTATTCTTTGCTGAAATGAGAGACAAGAGATTAATGGTTTTTTATGTCAATATTTTGATTGGATGCTCTATTTTTAAAGTCTTTTACATGGCCTCCAGAGAGTCTATTATCTATGGAAAAGCTATCATTACCGATGTATGCATGGGGTTGTCAGGGGGGCCGAGCCCCCTATCGAAATTATACATTAAATGTGTACGACCAGTAACATTCACTGAGGTAAGGTTTCTTTTCTTTTGCAAGAAAACTGTGAAATGTTAACAAACGGGATTCCTGCATAAACTTGCAAGCAATTAGCTGATTTGTCAAAATAATAATAATAATAATAATAATAATAATAATAATAATAATAATAATAATAATAATAATATAATAATAATAATAATAATAATAATATAATAATATAATAATAATATAATAATAATAATAATAATAATAATAATAATAATAATAATAATAATAATAATAATAATAATAATAATAATAATAATAATAATAATAATAATAATAATAATAATAATAATAATAATAATATAATAATAATAATAATAATAATAATAATAATAATAATAATAATAATAATAATAATAATATAATAATAATAATAATAATAATAATAATAATAATAATAATAATAATAATAATAATAATAATAATAATATAATAATAATAATAATAATATAATAATAATAATAATAATAATAATAATAATAATAATAATAATAATAATAATAATAATAATAATAATAATAATAATAATAATAATAATAATAATAATAATAATATAATAATAATAATAATAATAATAATAATAATAATAATAATAATAATAATAATAATAATAATAATAATAATAATAATAATAATAATAATAATAATAATAATAATAATATAATAATAATAATAATAATATAATAATAATATAAATAATAATAATAATAATAATAATAATAATAATAATAATAATAATAATAATAATAATAATAATAATAATAATAATAATATAACAAGTAAAAAAGTATCGGTCGGTTTTGCCGACAGATGTATACCCTCAGCCCTCTTCACCCTCTATGGAGTGGGTTTTTAAAGAATGGGTCAATATTGTCAATTTCGTATCGGACCTACATAAATATGATATAAATATTATTATAGCAAATGGATATAGCAATTGTAAGGAATCACTGAGTTGTTTCGCAATTTATGACAGATAAAAATATTGAAAATGTGTCTCTTTGTGGGTGAGGTACCACAAGGTGTTCGCAGATATATAGGATCATCTTCAAAACAGATCTGGTGTTAGCAAAAATAATTTGTATGTGTGAAATTTGAAAAAAGTTGAATCCTTATTTCACTTTCTTTGAGCGTTATGTTTTTCAAAATTAGATTATTGCTTCCTTTCTGTGCAGAAAATATATATCTCAAATTTTCGACCATTTGTGGGGGAGGTACCATAAGATGTGGACCGATATACTTCATCTTAACACCAGAGCTTGGGTTAATATAAATATTGGGATGTGCGCCATTCGAAGACAATCGGACTCATACATCACATTTTATGAGAGTTGTAATTATTCAAAATTTTGACCATTTGTGGGGGACGTAATTGAAGGAGTGAACCGATATTGTCCATTTTTACACCTAACGTAGAACTGATGCAAATATTAGGATTTGCAAAGTGAGAGCAAAATCGGATTATCCTTTCTCTTTTTGTGCAAAAAATATATTTTTTGCAAATTTCGACCTTTTGTGGGGGAGGTACCAGAAGGAGTGGACCGATATATTCCATCTTAACATCAGATCTTGGGTTAATATAAATATTGGGATGTGTGAAATTTCAAAACAATCAGACTCTTACATCACATTTTATGAGAATTGTGATTATTTAAAGTTTTGACCCTTTGTGGGGGAGGTACCAGAAGGAGTGGACCGATATTCTCCATTTTCGCACCAGACCTAGCAATGGTGCAAATATTAGGATTTGCAAAGTAGCAGAATAATCGAATTATTCTTTCTCTTTCTGTGCAAAAAAAAAAAAAATATTTTTTTTTTTTGAAAATTTCGACCTTTTGTGGGGGAGGTACCAGAAGGAGTGGACCGATATATTCCATCTTAACACCAGACCTTGGGTTAATGTAAATATTGGGATGTGTAAAATTTTAAGACAATCGGACACTTACATCACATTTTATGAGAGTTGTAATTATTCAAAATTTTTACCATTTGTGGGGGAGGTACTTGATGGAGTGGGCCGATATTTTCCATTTTCACACCCGACCTCACACTGACGCAAATATTAAGATTTGCAAAGTTGGAGCAAAATCGGACTATAATTTCTCTTTCTGTGCAAAAATTAAATTTTTTGAAAATTTCGAACTTTTGTGGGGGAGGTACCAGAAGGAGTGGACCGATATTGCCCATCTCCGAACTCGATCTAAGTTTGATAAAAATATTACGATGTACCAAGTTTGGACCAAATTGGATACTCCCTTCGAGAGTTATCGTGCGCACCAGCCAGCCAGACAGACAGACAGACAGACAGACGGACGGACGGACGGACGGACGGACATCGCTAGATCGACTCCAAATGTTCTGAAACGGATTTGGTCCAAAGAGACCTAGGGTCTAAAACCGTTATTTCGACTAGGCACGTTTTGGCCGTATCAAATGATATATACCCTCTGTAGCCATATGGCTGAGGGTATAATAATAATAATAATAATAATAATAATAATAATAATAATAATAATAATAATAATATAATAATAATAATAATAATAATATAATAATAATAATAATAATAATAATAATAATAATAATAATAATAATAATAATAATAATAATAATAATAATAATAATAATATAATAATAATAATAATAATAATAATAATAATAATAATAATAATAATAATAATAATAATAATAATAATAATAATAATAATAATAATAATAATAATAATAATATAATAATAATAATAATAATAATAATAATAATAATATAATAATAATAATAATAATAATAATAATAATAATAATAATATAATAATAATAATAATATAATAATAATAATAATAATAATAATAATAATAATAATAATAATAATAATAATAATAATAATAATAATAATAATAATAATAATAATAATAATAATAATAATAATAATAATAATTATAATAATAATAATAATAATAATAATAATAATAATAATAATAATAATAATAATAATAATAATCATCGCTTTGGACCACTTCCGTTTTCGGACATTTGGTGTCGAACTAACTGATGTCCATCTGTCTGTCTGGCTGGCTGGGGCGCACTATAATTCTCGAGGGTAGTATCCGATTTAATCCAAACTTGGTACATCGTAATATTATTATCAAACTAAGATCGAGTTCGGAGATGGGTAATATCGATCCACTCCTTCTGGTACCCCCACCCCACAAAATGTCAACATTTTCAAAGAAAATAATTTACTGCACAGAAAGAGAAAGGATAATCCGATTTTGCTCCAACTTTGCAAATCTTAATATTTGCAGCAGTGCTAGGTCAGGTGCGAAAATGGACAATATCGGTCCACTCTATCAAGTACCTCCCCCACAAGGGGTCAAAAATTTTAATAATTCGAACTCTTATAAAATGTGATGTAAGTGGCCGATTTTTTTCAACTAACACACATCATAATATTTTTATTAACCCAGACCATTCCTTCTGGTACCTCCTCCACAATGTTTGACCCTTTGAATAACGAAAACTATAATAAAATCCGAAATAAGCATCCGATTCTCTTCAAATTACACACATCATAATATTTTTATTAACCCAAGGTCTGGTGTAAAGATAGAATATATCGGTCCACTCCACTCCATCCATGAAGCTCATAAAACGCTAAATTAAAATCCGATTCCATTCAGACTTGGTACATCTCAATATTTCCATTAACACAGCATTTCTTCTGGTACCTCCCACACATAGGATGTTGAAAAACAAAACGCTCAAAGAAGGCAAAATAAGCATCCAAGTCTCTAAAAAATCACACATTCAAATATTTTTGCTAACACAAGATCTGTTGTGAAGAAGATATATATCTGCGAATCCCTTCTGATACGTCACCCACAAAGGGTCTCAATTTCCAATACATATATCTGTTATATCTCATATAAAGTGAAGAATGTAACCAATATAGCCCAAACCTGGCACCTCGCAATATCTATATCATATTTATTTTGGTACGAAATACGAAATTGACACTATTTGCTCATTCCTTCGGAACCTACTCCATAGAGGGTCAACAATTTGAATAATTATACCAGAAGTCGAAATAAATTTAAATAATCGAACATTGGCTGAGGGTATACATCTGTTAGCAAAACTGACTGATACTTTTATCTTGTTTTTTTTTAAACCTTGAATGTTACAGAACACACCTATTACACTCTTCAAAAACTTTACCGTTTTTGAAAAATTAAAAAAATATCAAAATTTTTTTACTTCCAAAAATTAATTTCAAATTAAGCAAAAAAATGCCTCCTCACAAAGCAACCAATCACTCCAGAAGGAAGAAGAGAAGAACACCCCTGAAATTCCAACGCCGTCCCCGCATGTATAACATGGGAACTCAGGTTACCGAACGAGATATAATCGACAGCTTTGAAGAGAAATGTAATCGACCCCAAACGCCCTATCAAATCCATCAATGTAATCGCATCAAACGTAAGGAGAGAAAATATTCGAATATTTTTATGAGTGGCGTACTTATGAAGGCTTCGGAGAGCAGTTTACAAGAATCGGTGTCATATGATTTTGGTCCAACGACCATTAATAAATATGGGCGTATTCTATAGACGCTGGGCGGGGGTTTGTGAAATGTAAAATTCCGGTGTAGAATTTGAAGTTTGTGCAATGTAAAATTCCAGTGTAAAATTGACAAATAAATGAGTCTGCATCGAACCCATTCTTAAAGGCTACCAATTTATTGCGGC